AGGGGCTGAGGAGGCAGAAAGTCCGCAAACTCGGTGCCCCCTGAGTAGACGCTCTCAGGGGTGCCACTAGTAACACCTGGGTGTGGGACCCCACTGTGTGAACATGGCACATGGTCACTGTTTTTACATTCTTTTTGCACAGCGCCCTAAGGACCAGGCCTTTTGGCTAGGACCAGGGCAATTTTTGCTACGGGCCTCAGGGCCTGGTCTGTGCACAATTTGGCACGGTACCACTTTTTTATTTTCTATTTATTTAATTTATTTCACCTCCCACGTTTGTCACTTTTTCTTTCGCTTATGTGTGTGTTTTCACGGATGGAGGGTGTGGGTCCTCGGGCCTACCCTGAAGTCTAGGGGGAGGATGTGTGGCCTTTTGGTTCCTTCCTCCCCTGATCCCTAGGGGGCTTTTCTTCAGGAGAGCCCCCTGACCAAGTACTGTGTGTCTGGCTTCGGCTGGACACAAGGAACGGTGGTCCACCAGGCCTTTTGGCCAGGAGGACCAATTGGGAACCTTGTCCCCGTCAGGAGCTTCGTGCCCCGGGGGATCAGGGTAAGCGGTCCAAGCCCCTTTAGGGGTAGGACACAGCACACCCCTAAGTGCACTTTTTCGTGTGGTGTTTTGCACTTGCACTTTTTTTGTGATACACTTACGGGTTTTTACGTTTATAGTTGCACGTTTGCGGACTTAAAAAAAAAATAATTAATTTACACGTATTGGGATTTTTTTTAGCAAAGACATGTAGCAGAATACATTTTGGCCTAAATTTATGATGAAATCAGATTTCTAAAAAATTTTTACTAGATATAATTTATAGCAAAAAGTCAAAAATATTGTATTTTTCTCAAAATTGTCAGTCTTTTTTTTATAGCACAAAAAAAAAAAAAAAAAGGCAGAGGCAATCAAATACCACGGAAGGAAAGCTCAATTTATGGGGAAAAAGGACATAAATTTCATTTGGGTGCAGCATTGCATGACCGTGCAATTGTCAGTTAAAGTAACGCAGCACCGTAACACAAAAAAATTGCCTGGTCAGGAAGGGGGGTAAGCCCCCCGGTCACATAGACTGCAATTTGGCATGCGATTCGCATGCCAGGCAACTTGCCAATCGTATGCCAAGTCACACCCTATTGTCCACTATTACAGCAGTCAAATCGGTGCCGTTGCCACACCGATTTCTAAAGTAGTGCATGCACTACTTTTTGTGCGATTTTCATAGACATCTGTGTCAGATGTCTTGCAAATCGCACTTGAAATTGGCATGTCCCTATACTTTGAAATTGTGCGACTTCACAGTAAGGCCGGCCATACATGGGTCGATTTCCGAACGATTTTTCATTCAAAAATCGGACCTAAGAATAATTGATCGATTTTCGCTCTGTTAGTGGGGCAATGGCATCGGTCGATTATCATGGTTCCTCCCCATTTTGTTTATTGGGCATGTTGGCAAATTTGGGAAAAACTAGCGATTTTCTAAATCATTGGTGGCACCATCGGATTACAGAATTACAGGATTACAGATTCGACCCATGTATGGCCTACTTTAGTTGCCCGATTTCAAAGTCAGGCTTGATCTGGCAGGGATGAAAATCATCAGGAGGGCAACTGCTCAGGTGTTTTTTGATTGTAATTGATAATAGGGTGTGGCACCTTTACACTTCCTGTTATTTGCATTTGCCTTGGTGACATATCACTCTGTCCCCAGCATAGGTGCTCGATCTTGCAAACTTCCAGACAGCTCCTTACTTCCAAACAGCTCCTTACTTTCAGACAGCTCCTTACTTTCAGACAGCTCCTTACTTCCAGACAGCTCCTTACTTCCAGACAGCTCCTTACTTCCTTAGACTCCATGGGGTTTATTTACTAAAGCTGGAGAGTCCAAAATCAGACTCCCTTCTGCATAGAAACCAATCAGCTTCTAACCTCAGCTTGTTCAATGAAGCTTTGGCAATGAAACCTGGAAGCTGATTGGTTTCTATGCAGAAGGGAGTCTGATTTTGGACTCTCCAGCTTTAGTAAATAAACCCCCATGTGACTATTTACATCACAGGGGTTGTTCACTCTTCTTGATGGGGATGAGCAATGATGCTACTACATGTCACAGCACTGACAACTCTGCAATCAGAGCAGGCCTCTGCCAATTCCAGCCTGCACATGCATGAGATAGAACCATGGCATGGCCAAAGGGTGGAAATTTGGTTTTAGGGAATTAAACAAAAATTACATTTCAAGTATGATGCAGCCATTGGGGAGAAGGTGGAAAATGAGGTAAAAAACAAAAAACATAGTAGGCACAGCCGCATGTTTTTACCTCCCCTAACTACAAGTGTAAACAAGCCCTTACTGAACATTTCCGGGTTTTATGTAGTTCTTTCTCTCTCTGATATCACCTTGCACGCAGTCACACCCCTCAGCCTTTCTGTTTATGCTATCATTATCGCTAATTGTTTGCAACTGTGAAGAAAAGGGCAGCGACTCTTCAGCTGGCCTTCAGGAAGTTCTTGATTACAAGGTTTCACTGCAGTCTGCAATAACCAACGTCTGTGGGTTTTTTTCCTCTCCTTTTTATAGTAAAAGGTGCCCACTGTATATGTGCAAATTTCATCTCCTGACACTTCTCCCTATTTGGTCCTTGTTATTTCCGTTTTTTCCTTCTATTTCTACATAGCTGCATCCTCACTTGACTTAATTAAACTGTTTTGGCTGCTGCTGAGTTTATCCTTTTTGTATAAAATATATGCAATGCTAGGAAATGTCAGGATAAAATACTTGGCAAACATAATGCACTAATAAAATGTCATGCTAGCCTAGCAGTTGAATAAATATTTTATATAAAAATACAACACAATGAAGACAATTATATTTGTATCACCGTTTTTCTTAAAGGTTTTTGAGATGGCTGAATAGAAACTGCAACTTTTAAAATCACTTGACAGTGAGCGATAGTGATTGCAGGGTATGGTAATTATTGAAGAGTCCTGGTAGAAACAGAAATTGTCTATCAGAGCAGAATATTGAGGACAGAGGCAAACACTGACTGAACAGGATACATAAAATCTGATTTCCTTCCACACTCAGTTTAGGTAAACTCAGACTGCACAAGCTACATGAAGTCGGATCCCCCTCCAGCTCAAACAGTGCAGGCAAACTCAGACTGCAAAGGTTACATAAAATATGATCCTCCACCAGCTCACACAGTGTGGAAAAACTCAGACTGTACGGGTTACATGAAATTGTATCCTTTCCAGCTCACACAGTGTGAGCAAACAGAGTGCACAGGTTACATGAAATTTGATTTTCCACCAGCTCACACAGTGCGGGCAAACTCAGACTGAACAGGTTACATGAAATTTGATCCTCCACCAGCTCACACAGTGCGGGCAAACTAAAACTGCACAGGGTACATGAAACTGATCCTCTACCAGCTCACACAGTGCGGGGAAACTAAAACTGCACAGGTTACATGAAATTTGATCCACCACCAGCTCACACACTGCAGGCAAACTCAGACTCCACAGGTTACATGAAATTTGATCCTCCACCAGCTCAAACAGAGAAGATAAACTCAGACTGCACAGGTTACATGAAATTTGATCCATCACCAGCTCACACACTGCAGGCAAAGTCAGACTGCACAGGTTACATGAAATTTGATCCGCCAGCAGCTCACACACTGCAGGCAAACTCAGACTACACAGGTTACATGAAATTTGATCCTCCACCAGCTCACACAGAGCAGACAAACTCAGACTGCACAGGTTACATGCAATTTGTGCAGTTCGCATGCAGTTCCTAGTGTGAATTGGCCGTAACTTGAATTGAACAATTGCAGTAGTTTAGTTGCAATATCTGAAATGATTTCAAAACAATGATGGCACAATAGTGCCATCCGCTCCGTGCTCCGTGAGGACGTCGATGACGAAAAGCTTAGGGCGGTGCCTTTGGATGTGAGGTTCAGAAAACTCCTGGTTTGTCTGCATGTTGCATGTGCATGTTTGGCTGGGTCTGAGTCGCCTATATTCATTACACATGCTGTTTACACTGGTGTCAGTCTGGACACCTTGCTTGTAAATGCATTTCTTTATTAAAGTTTGATGCTTTTTAAAACATACTGCACCATGATTGTTCACTTTTTTCTTTTGAGTGACGGTCTGATCATCTCTCAGTTTGGATACTAAATCACCTTTGGAGTGGATTTTCTACTTTGCAGCACATCATCTGTTGGAGTTCATCCTTCATTTCTTCAGTGTTGTTGTCACCATATTATTCATTTCTCCCAGAATAACAAGTACTATATGCTGGTTTTTCAACAATCAGCATATTACTCTGGTGAGTTCTATTTAACCATTTTTGGTGGTGGATTTACTTGGTGATTAATTATTTTGGACAATAGTATGATAAAACGACGCCATTTTCTTTTTTCGTTCCACAGAATGTTTGGTTTTCGACACGTCTATGGCCTGCCTTTATCATTTCGTGCACAATGGCATGCTCTTATTTTGTGTGTGAATTTGTTGACAGCTTCCTCCATGTATCCTCTAATGCTACTGCTGAGGCATCTGTCACGTTAATATAAGTCTCCTTCAGGAGCTGTCTGTCACGAATTTGTGTACATTGTGTGAAATTATATGAATTGTTTATCTGTCTTGAAATGTGATCTGCTGAATAGAAAGGGAGGAAATGCTGGGCGTAATTACATGTGATTGACTATACAATTGAGCATTTCATCTGTTGTCACATCTTGTGTGGCAATGGACACATTATCTTACGCAAGCAGTGCCATTCCTCTGCACCTGACCACTCATTGTGCTGAGGAAATTAACTGGACTGCAGGTGTTTTCTTTTATTCTGGGTAGACAAAACCAACATTTATTCTGGGGATTGTTCTTCGTTGTTTGTGCAGGGAGACTCGCTGGTTACTTTACTCCCCATATTATTTACTAATTATGTTGTCAATGAAGCTAAAACTTAAAGGGATACTAAACCCAGGACCCTGCATCCACTATATCTGGTCTCCCACAGTACACACTACATGGAAATGCAATTATTTTAGTAAATATAAACTGTTAATACCTTTTCTTATCAGCAGTTAGAGCAGTCTTGTGACTTCAGCAGAGCACTGGTTAAAGCTTGTAAGAGGAGTTTTCTTTCTGCTCTAGGATGATGTGAAACCCCTGACCTCTGTCTGGAGTGCTGATTGGCCCTGTGCTGATCACATGCACTCTCCCAAGAAAAAAAAAACCCTCTCTAGCAATACACACCAAACTGAGCATGTGCATGTGACTACAGATTCAGTCTGTATCAGGTGGTCATTTCAACAAGAGGAGGAGCAGAGAAGAAAGGATCAAACAGCCTTTTTACACAATGGATGGATTAACCCATTAGGTTCCACAGTGAGTATAACAAGCATGCTTTACTGCATATACAGACTGATTTTACTGTTGTGGGTTTAGTAACACTTTAAAGCTTTCATATATATTAAGTACAATTAAGTAAGAGCTAGTTCACACTACCCTGGTGGGCTACGGTGTGTTAAACTCATACTCGTTAACCTTCGTTGATTCGCACATTACCGTAAATTGCTTAGGGCAACTAATGCATGTAAATGGGCTGTCCAATGCACCACAGTGGACCAAATCTCCTGCATGCACGTTTTTGGCAGCACACCACAAAGTAACACACGTTAGTGTGTTGGTGCACACTGTGAGCAAGTAGTTGAGAAGATGCGTTAGGGAGCATTAATACACTGCAGTGATATGAATGAATCTTAAAGGTGAAACTTTACAGGCTATATGTCAATTAACGAAGGCTATTTCAATTGGAAATTGCTGATAATCTCTCTATAAAGTGGTGAATGTGACATTCACCAAACATTCACTGCAGATGAATCAATTACTGTAATTGAAAACACATGTACTATATTTAGTGCCTATTTTTGTTAAACAAGACCCATTAAAGTGAATAGTGCTGCATTGCAAGTTCTCCGCAACCGCTTGTAAAGCATGTGGTGTTGTGGTGTGTTAGTACAGGGTTGAAACGGGTGGTAAGGAGGCAATATGCCTCCTCACCATCTGTCAAATGCTCTCTGAAGAGCAATCCAAATACTGAATGCTTTTCAGAGAGTAAAGCACATGTGAACAAGCCTTTAATTTTTTAAAGATAATTTTGTAGTATTCTAATTGTTTTGACTTTTTTCGAATTCATTATTTAATTATTTTTTTAAACTTTTTTTACCTGCCCTGTTGGAGGTGGTTTGGTAAAATATCAGGGATCCAAATAGACCCCTTTTAGCTGAACCAAGCATTGGACTCCTTATATTTGAGGCAGAGAAAGGGGCTAAGGACTTCCAAGAGAGAAAAGGTAATCTCTGGACCGTATTAGAGTGTGGATTAGCCCTCATCTCCACCATACATTGCAGCTAGGGGGTGTTAGGGGAAGAGAAATGAATCATCAAAATTTGGTGGGAGAAAGTGTTCCTTGCATCTACTTTTCAAAAGGGGGACAAAGGAATCTCTGTCCTGTAGGCCCTCCATAGCAAACTGACCCCCTCTCTGGCATGCCAACCCCAATACCACTACCCACTGATCCTGTGACAGTATGTGGCTGACCAGCAAGGGAGTATTGAAGGCCTTTTCCTGGGAAGTGTACTGGTCCAGCAGCTGACACCTATAATTCCTCTTAGTGGGAGGATCTCTCCCTTTGAAAAGCTCAGGCAGGTTTTCCAAGCTGAAAACCAAGGAAACATGATTTTCAGGAGGGAAATCTCTAAGTTCTATTTCTTCATGGTAGGCCTATAGTTGATTATGTTTTACATTGTGGAGGGGTTGTCCATCATCAAGGGCCTGTCCTTATGTTTTAGCTGAACCAAGCATTGGACTCCTGTAGGAGACACTACACTCAGTAGTAATGATCTCAGCCAGAAAATAACAGGACCCCTAGATAGTTACAAATTGGGACAAATGCAGTATAGCAAAAAAGTATATACACGTATAAATGGCAAAAAAAGTATAAAAACTGTGATGATCGTCTTGGAATTATTTAAAAATTATAAATTTTATTTATTTAAAATTTTCATTTTACAATTTTTTTTATTTTTTTATTATTAATAATAATAATAATAATATATATTAATAATAAGTTAACAATACATGTATATACTTTTATTTCTATACTGCATTTGTCCGAAATTGTAACCTCTGTTATGTGACCTGTTGGTTTTTGGTGAATATAGGGACAACAGCCCAAAGGATTAGTCAGTTAACATTTAAAAAGAGTGTGGGGTACTCCTTTTTTTAATATAGTTAATTTTTGTTACATAGTTAATCTGGTTGAAAAAAGACACAAGTCCATCCAGTTCAATCAACAGATGATCTGCAGCAGAGTTGTGTCCTCCACTGAATGAAAGAAAAAAAGCCTTGTTTGTCTTGAAAAAACAGTATGTATCACTTTATTGCATTAAAAAGTCTTTGCCAAATAAGTAGGCTTATGGCAGAAATGGAAAAAGTGCTCTGGTCCATACGGGGTATACAGGTATGAGCGCTAAAGTGTTTAAAGTCCATTTATGGGTAAAACCTAAACCCCAAACTCAACCCCTAACAGATATGAGCGCTAAAGTGTTTAAAGTCCATTTATGGGCAAAACCTAAACCCCAAACCCAACCCCTAACAGATATGAGCGCTAAAGTGTTTAAAGTCCATTTATGGGTAAAACCTAAACCCCAAACTCAACCCCTAACAGATATGAGCGCTAAAGTGTTTAAAGTCCATTTATGGGCAAAACCTAAACCCCAAACCCAACCCCTAACAGATATGAGCGCTAAAGTGTTTAAAGTCCATTTATGGGCAAAACCTAAACCCCAAACCCAACCCCTAACAGATATGAGCACTAAAGTGTTTAAAGTCCATTTATGGGTAAAACCTAAATCCCAAACCCAACACTTCTATTCCCTCTCAACCCAGCAATTTTTTAACCTCCCTGGCGGTATGATTATTTCAGATTTTTGGTGCTGAAAGCGGTACAATTTTTTTTTGCATGGAAATATGTATTTTTTTTTTATTGTAGGCCTGTAATTTAGGAATAACTCACTGAAATCTGTCCGAACAAGAGTCTAGTAAACATTCCAGATATGATAAAACTTGAAACACAAAATCATAAATTATAATTTAATAAATAATCATAAAAAATAATAATATAATAATAATACATTTAATTAAATAATATAATCAAACCAAAAACACTGAAATTTGAAATATAGCTCCAAGTTCGCACATCGCTGAGCAAAGTCGCAGAATAGTTTTCAGTGTCTGATGACGAATTTCCCCACAAATCATTATCACTCAATTCTGCAAGTGGTTCTGATTTACTATCACTGTTCTCTAGCCTGTCTAAAACCGATTTTGACATAAAGGGACGCTTTTTGGACGCCATCGACTTTTCTCAGTTTCCAGGCAGAAAGAACAGTCAAAATGCAGGCAGGGGACAGGACAAAGCAGTAGGGACAAAATGTATGTGAAATGTTTTGAAACAGCAATGTTTTACTATGTAATAATTATGCATTTTTAAAATTTCAAATTTGCCGCCGGTTCCGGCGCCCATATGTCCCGACGTCACAGGGACTGGAACATGGAAGCCGGATGCCGGCATCGGCCAGAGGAGATGGCCGGGGACGCTGCAGGGGACACATCGCGGGAGCGAAGGACAAGGTAAGTGCTGCAGGGAATCCCTATGCAACGCTGCATGGTAAGCCCGAGTGTAGCTTGGGGTTACCGCTTTTGGTACTGAAACTTTACCCCGAGCTACACTCGGGAATACCTCTAGGGAGGTTAAAATATCCTGTAAAACAAATTTCTCTTCACATAAGCCCACCATCCATGTTTCTTGCAACACCATTTCTAGATGCAGGGGGACTGGTAATTCCCCATTGTAGATGTGCCCATGCTGGCTGTTCCCCTCATGTTGACATCATCATTCCAAGTCTGACTTCTAGATTCTGAGAGAACCCTGCCAGTAGGCCTGCAGGCTGTTCTGTGATGTGGAAAACTGAAGAACCTTGCCTCTTGTGTCTAGAAGAAGAGAGAAGACTCAGGACTACAATGTCACATGACCACAAACTCATGCCTAGTACACTCAATGAGAAAATCCAACAAAAAATATTACTTTTGAAGCAAATTTCCAATAATCTGATAGTTAGTACACAGCTTTTGAGAGTTGATCACGAAGGTTCATGCAAAATTATCCAAAGCTACAAGCATTACATTTTTTCTCGTATGATAACAGAACTGACGATTTTCATTTAATCAGTGCAGTATTCATCTGTAAAAAATTGAGTGACCAAGACCATGCATGCTTGGAAGTGATAGAATAAATTACAATACATTACATATACATCACTTCCGAAGATGTATGCTATCTTAGGAGAAGTTTCATAACTCTAGTAACCTATTCCTTTTCAATAAAAAGTTAGCAAGCAAAAAAAAAAAAACGGACGATCATTCGTCTGATGTTCTCATCGTGTGTACGAGGATTTAGGTGAGTAAAAGGGGCATTTAGGTATTTCTTTATGCCAGCAATTAGGTAGAGGGGGTTAAGGGAAGGGTTTGTGGGGGGGACACTCTACTCCACAAATGTCATCTCTGTTGTCTCTGTTCCCAGCCACCTGCACACTGCACAACACTCACTCAAGGTGAAGGATAATCAGGTCCACTCCACAGACTTCTCTGTTCTGGAACGGTCCCAATTTGCTCTTAACTACAAATATGTTCATAACACTTGAAGCTTTAAAAAACCCTATTGTGCACTTTGAGATATTTCCTTTATTCCTGACTAAAACCATTTCTGCTGACTCTAGCAGCCCTGCAATATCATTGATAAGCTGTGTCTAGACAGAGTGATGTCAGCTTTTATTATTCCTTGCATTGTCAACTTGGGCAGGAAAGACCATTTACTAATAAGCTCTGAAAATGCATTAGAGTAAAAGCATGCATCAATCCTCAGCACCCTTCATTACGTGTGTGCATGGTTT